AGGGTAACTATCTTTAAACTGTTTTTATATTGTGTATATATATATATATTGAGAGAAGCTTCCATAGTAGGTTTCCACATGACTCAAAAGGCCTTTAGTGTTAGTTATTCCTCCTACTCCATCTTCTGCCTTACCCTCCCATTTCCCACCCATTAACCCCGTCATATCTATCATTCCCCTTTCCCATTTGTATTGCTGCATTCTATCTCCCCTCCCATAAACCATCCCCATCTCACCTTATTAGTTTCCGAGTCTCTAAGGATTTTCCAAGTGAAACACACTTATCTAAAGATTGAAAGCTAGCAGCCACTTATGAGAGAGAACATGTGATGTTTGTCTTTCTGGGACTGGGTTACCTCACTTAGGATATTTGTTTTCAGTTCTATCCATTTACCTGAGAATTTAATAATTTTGCTTTTCTTAAGAGCTGAGTAATACTATATTGTGTAAGCGTACCACACTTTTGTTATCCATTCATCAGTGGATGGACATCTAAGATGTTTCCATTTCCTGGCTATTGTGAATAGGGCAGCAATGAGCATGAATGAATAGGTATATCATAGGATATGTAATAGGATACAGAGTCCTCTGGATAAATGCCCAAGAATGGTATGGCTGGATCATGTGGAGATCTGTCTTTAGCTTTTTGAGGAACCCCCACACTGATTTCCATAAGGACTGTACAAGTTTGCACTCCCACCAGGACAAAAGACAGCATATTTAACAAATGGTGCTGGTCAAACTAGATAGCTACATGTAGAAGAATGAAACTAGATCCCTGTCTCTCACCATGCACAAGACTCAACTCAAAATGGATCAAGGACTGCACCATGAGACTTGATATCTTGAATCGGACAGCAGAGAATATAGGGAATACACTGGAATTTATAGGCACAAGAAAGGACTTTATGAACAAGACCCCAATAGCATAGGCATTAAGACCAACTACTGACAAATGCGACATCATGAAACTAAAAAGCTGCTGTGCTTCAAAGAACACCATCATTCAAGGGAAGAGGCACCCTACAGAATGGGGAAAACCATCTTCACCAGCTACACCTCTAATAGAAGGTTAGATCTAGAATATACAAAATACAAAAACAGCTAAAAAAAAAAAACCCCAAATAACACAATTAAAAATTGGGGCAAGGACCTGAACAGGGAAGTCTCTAAAGATGAAATACAAATGGCTGAGAAATGCTTTTTTTTAAATGTTCAAACTCTTTAGCCATCAGGGAAATATAAATTAAAACTACTTTGAGATTTCAACCTACCCCCATCAGAATGGCTAAGATCCAAAAGACAAATGATGACAAGTTCTGGTGAGGATTTGGGGAAAGGGGAACACTTATTCATCTTTATTTCTTAAAGACTCATATTTGGGTCTTCAATTTTGTTCCATTGTTCTACAGGCCTATTTTTGTGTCAGTACCAATCATAGACCCATTTTCCAACATTTCAACCAATTAAGAAAGGAATAAAGAAGTCCCTCTAATGCACGTACTGATATGTTATTCTTCAAAGTGATAATTAAAGAAAAATGATATTACAGGTAGGGAGTGCTTAAGGGATTCATGAGAGCCTGAAATAGAGAGATTTGAGTGTTAGGAACTCCACTTGCTGGTTCTGACACCTCAGTGCACAAGCATGGCAGACTCTACAAGTTTACATTGACTATCATAGTCACATCTTAGGATATGTTTCCAGGGAGACCACAAAGTCCCTCTACATGCTAGAGGGTATCAAAGGTGTCTGTGTGCACCTCATCAGTCTTAGCACAATATGACATCTGTCCCTTTCACCCACCATATTCATGGTACTATGAGGCCAACCTTAACAGGTGACAATTTGCTCTGAGGCTTTGTAAAAGAATAAATGTTTAATTCTATCTAACAAAATGAAAACATTCACTCTGCCTAATGGTAGCTTAAAGACTTAAAGACCACCTATCTGAGGACTGGAGAGACGGCTCAATGGTTAAGAGCACTGACTGTTCTTGCAGAGGACCTGGGTTTGATTCCCAGCACCTACATGGTTGCTAACAACTGTCTGTAACTCCATTTCCAAGGTAATCTGATGCCCTCTTGAGTTCCATGGGCATTGCATGGCACTGGTGCACTTACATACATGTAGGCAATACACACATACAGAAAAAATAAAAATAATAAATGAAATATAAAAAACCCACCTATATAACACCCACATTGGAGAGATCATCTAGGAAGTATATAGAAAGAGTAAAATACTTGCAGTGAGTGTACACAGGTGATTTCCATACATGCAGATTATTTTTGATCAGTGTGCTTATGGTCTGTAAGTTTACCCAGAATATATGTCAAAGAAGCAAAAACCTAGCTAATCTGGCTGAAAAAACTGTTTTCAAATATTAAGCTGACTGATCAAATGATCAAGTTGGTCTACGAAAAGGATTTATCTTTATATTGCCTAGAAACTTTTTCTCTGTTTAATCCAATTTACCCTTCCAGTACAGCCCCTTCAGACTCGTTTTTGATACTTTTCATTCATGAAGAATGGCCACCTAGCTTCTTTTCATCTTCCACTATTTTTTGTTTTTTGTTGTTGCTGCTGTGGTGGTGGCTTATTGAATGAATGAATGAATGAATGAATGATTGATTGATTTTGAGACAGGGTCTCTTTGTAGCCCTAGTTAACCTAAACTCAGTATGTAGACCAGGTTGGCCTTGATCTTAACAGAGATTCCCCTGCTTCTGCCTCCTGAGTACTGAGATTAAAGGCATGTGCTAACACAGCCTGTTTGTCCTCCAATTTTTATTTAATTAAATTAATGTAGTTATTTTCCAGTGCTAAGGACTGAACCCACCCCTTGTAATGCTAGCCAAGTACTCTATCACTGAACTGTATCCCCAGTCCCCCATCTTTGTGTTCTTAGTTTTCCTCCATAGGCTTCCATTTTTAATCTAATTACTCAGTTAAAAAAAAAAAAAAAACCAAAAAACAAAAAACAAAAAAAAACTTCCACTGGCTTAGATGTTCACCAAATTCGTGAAAATGACACTTTCCTGCACAGCATTTGGTGGGAAGTCCATCTTGTATTATAAAAAAACTTCCACTGGCTTAGATGTTCACCAAATTCGTGAAAATGACACTTTCCTGCACAGCATTTGGTGGGAAGTCCATCTTGTATTATAAAAAAACTTCCACTGGCTTAGATGTTCACCAAATCCGTGAAAATGACACTTTCCTGCACAGCATTTGGTGGGAAGTCCATCTTGTATTATAACTGGTGGATTACTATGAACTATCAGCTGTTCCCTTTAAGTCACTATGTTTGCACTCACTTCAACTCTGGCTGAATGTGTGTGGCTCATGAAAAAAGAACATTATGACAACATGGTGGTCCATGTACTGGTGTGTGTGTGTGTGTGTGTGTGTGTGTGCATGCATGTGAAGGGGTAGATTAGAGAGTAACAGCTTCTTGGTGATGTGAATGAGTAGCACTGGGCTGGAGTGACACAGTGCCAAACCCCCAAAGTGGGGAAGACAGAGGTCCCTGTGTAAGTGTTGGGCTGAGCCCTAGGTATGCCAAGGCTGGGTCTACATTGATGGGAGAAGAGGACAGGCTATGATATGCTAGGAGGGGTGTGCCTAAGACTCCCTCTAGGCACAAACGGGGTAGGAGATGGACCAGAAGATGTCTTGGTCCCCTTAAGTTTAAGCTATTTGTATTTTCTCTTCTTTCATTCCTCTCAGGGCTCTGTATTCTGTATCTAAAATTCAGGTACTCAAACAGTCCCTGGGATGGAGATGAGGCTGTGATGACCAGTGTTCATGACCTTTGTATGCTCTTTGTGCTCTGCAGTCTGGCCTAAGGACTGTTTATGGCATGGAACCAGGGTAGGAAGACCTCCTGATCCAAAAGCTAAGGAACAGTCCAGAGTTCAGTAGTGTCTCAAACATGAAAATATCAAATCCTGATATCACTAGATCATTGTTGTTAATTTTAAGTATTTTAAAACTAGAAATATAGCCATTTACTTCCATTAAAATCTTATAGTGTGGTACTTAGCACCTATCAGAAAAAGAAGTAGTGAATCCTAGAAGCGAGTGTCTCTACATTGTCCACAATTCTGGACAGAAAGCAGAAGCCATGGCCTTCACCAAGCAGCAGAGACAAGCTTATACCTAACTCCTGTCTGGGTCACTACCCACTTGACTGGGCCTGTGCATTAGCTGAGGAGCCTTGTAGTTTCCCCACCAGTGGGGCAAAGCAACCCAGGTGTTTGGAAGTACTGAGTGGAATGATATTCTCTCAGTGATCCTGATGAGGCTAAAGTTCTGGCCACAGTTAACTGTCCAGAAATGTGTATAGGGCAGAAATATCCAAGTCAAGTGACAATAAGGGAACAACAGGACATTGCAGACTTCAGAACTGCTTTTCCCTTAAGGGAATGCTTATAAAAACCTGGACCAGAATAAAGCAAAGATTTAGAGACAGGAGGAAAGCTTGCAATTGCATTGCAGCAATATTCTGTAAAATCAGGCTCTGGTAAAGTTTAAAAGCTGAAAATGCCTCATCTTTCTTTCTGAGAGGCATGGCAATCGCACCAGTACTGTACTCTGACCATTTCCAACAGGATCCCATCAAAGCTTATATGACAAGGCCACATGATGTGGTCGTAGGTATGTGCTTGGATATTTTATGCACATATATAATTTTTGTTTCTTTGTTTTTCCAAAATTGAAAATTCCCTGAATATTCCAGAGGAGAGAATAATGTAGCATCTGACAGGAAAAGAAAAATGTCCTCCCTCGGTCTGTCCCTGCCTCATCCTTTCTCCCACACGTTCAGGTCACTAAGTTGTAGTGATTGAAGTCATTCTTGGTGAATAATGCTGGGCCGTGTTGAAAAATTTGAGGTTGATAACTGGACCCTCGTCAGCGTCACGTATTTTGTCACCGAGAGAGGGTAACCCATGGTAACTAAGCTCGGATCAGTTAAGGGACAGAGAGCCTCCCCTCTTCTGCTGCTCTATAAAAGAGACCCAGTGAAAGGACCCTACCGGCTTCGAGCTCTCAGCGTGGGCGAAGGTGTGCGAAGAAAAGATCACTGGAGCAGAGCGCACCAGCTGTAGGGGCAAGGCCAGCATGTCACCTAACTTCAAACTCCAATATCACTTCATTCTGATATTCCTGACAGCTCTAAGGGGCGAGAGCCGCTACGTAGAGGTGAGCCATCCTTGCACTGACCCCTAACTCGGTTCTCCTCAGTATTCAGCCACCGGCGGCACGCAGGTTTGTAAGCGAATCCTTTGCTCTCTCTTGGGTCCTCTTTCCCCTCGTGGTTCGCCTAGGCTTGCTTTCTCCCTGCCTCTGAACATCCCAACCGCCTGCCTTCCTCTGGCTGCTGGGGATGCCCTGGGTGCCCAGATCTGATGGAAGAGTCTTAAGACTCACCCGGTGGTCTCAGGACTTGGGGACACATGGACTCGCTCTCTATTCGCTTCTCTGAGCTGTAAGGGGTGTCTCCTGCCCCTGGTCCACTTTCTTTCCCTCCCCCTGAACTTTTCCGGATGGATTCATTTTCTTTGCCAGTCGCAAGAAGCTGCAGACTACGACCCTTTCCAGCTCTTCAGCGCCAACCTGAAACGGGACCTGGCTGGGGAGCAGCCATACCGCCGAGCTCTGCGTGAGTCCAGCGGTTCTGCTCCTGGGCGCGGGCCTCTGGGAGGGGGAGGCTGGGGCTGTTCTCCTAGGGCGGGAGGCTCGCAGGATCGCCCGCCGGCGGTTGACCAGGACGTTCCCCAAGCAATTCGCATCACTAAAGAGCCTTCTGAGCCCGCGTGTGTGGATTAGGGGCACCCTAAATTGGGAGATCCGACTTGGGGTGCTGCGCGCTGCGGAGCCCCAGAATGAGGCGCGCGGGGAGCTGCTGTCCCAGGCAGCTAGAAACGCTTGGTACTCTGTCCCAGGGTGCCTGGACATGCTGAGTCTCCCTGGCCAGTTCACCTTCACCGCCGACCGGCCGCAGCTGCACTGTGCAGCCTTCTTCATTGGCGAACCCGAGGAGTTCATCATCATCCACTACGACCTAGTCTCCATCGACTGCCAGGGCGGAGACTTCCTGAAGGTGAGGGATTCCGGTCCCGCACATCCCGAGTCGGCCGGCAGTCGAGGGTTGGAAAGGGCTAGTGAGCTGCGCCCAGCGTGGCAAGCCAGGGACTGCTCTGAACCAGACCGGACTCTGGTGCTCGGGTAACAGAAGCGAGCTGCGGGGCAACCCAGGCAGCCGGAACCTCCCTTCAACCCAGGAAGGGTCTCGCAGCCGCACACCCTGCAGGTGGCGTGCAGCTGTGGAGGTTTAAATTCCCTTGCACACACTCTGGAGGCCCTGGGAACTTCCCAGCACTTGAACTTGTAGCAGGAGACACTGTGATGTAATCTGGGGCAGACAAAATACGGCAAAAGTAACTCATGTCTACCACCAGAGCCCAGCGAGGCGTGCAGGCTAGCTCCATGCCTGAGATCTGAGCCCATCTCGATCCTCCAAGCGTACGTACGTGGGCTATTCAGGGTTGGGGTGATGGTTGTGGAGTGCTAGGGCATTGGCTGCAGGAGGGATGCTTAGGAGACATCTAGTTTGAGACAGGTGAAAGGGGAAGACAGGCCTCCTGCCTACAGCATCTCCACTCCCACTCTGCACAGCCACACAAGTCAGCTGAGGGTGGCTGATGGAACTCTACTGCCCGGTGAAAACCATCACGTTGAAACCTCCAAAGCAGAACCATTTTGGAACCTGTCAAATATGATAGAAATAATTTGCAACTGGGTAGTTGGCAATTTTGCTAACGTGGGCTATGGTGGACTCATTAAAATGCAGACCTGTGAAGTCACTTGACTTTGACCTTTGTCCCAAATTAACCTAGGACATGAAGAGGAAAAGTCCTACTTGGCTTACAGGGCATGTCCTGACTACAGCATTCTGGATATTTTAAAAAGTAACATGGGATGATGGTTTTAAAAATAAGAATGAGCCACTGGGACCTAAAATTGCTGCCGGAGTTTTTCCTTTCTTTCCCCCACCCCATTACCTTGACAGAATTTTACTATGTACCCCAGGTTGGCCTCAAACTCATGATCCTCCCACTTCATCCTCTCTAGTGCTGTGGTTACAAACAAGATCTGCTTTTTTTTCTTTTCTTACTTATATTTTTGGAAGTTGTTGTTCACATCTCACTGGCCAGAGGAAAGGGAGAAGATGAAGTTAAATGAAATCTAAATATGAAAGTGGGATGTGGAAAATACAGATGAAAATGAATGTTGTCTATAACTTAATTTTTTTAGAAGAGGCTGTAATTAAAAATTTTTATGTATATGTTTTGCCTGCATGTATGTAAGTGTACCACATACATCCAAGCCCAGGGGCCAAAAGAGGGTGTCAGATCCCCAGGGACTGGGGTTTCTGATGGTTGTTAGCTGCAGTGCTCTCAACTGCTGAGCCATCTCTCCAGCCCTATTCTATAACTTCCTTTAATCACAATAGTTGACAAATTAATCCGACCTTCGGGAGGCAGAGATAGGTGAATCTCTGTAAGATGGAAGCCAGCCTGGTCCACATAGTGACTTCCAGGAGGGCTGGGACTAGGGAGACCATGTCAAAAAAAAGAGTTGATAAAGTATAAAAAAGTGTGCTTACTTAGCTTTAAGGCTTATGCAAAAAGGCATTGATTAATTGATGCTACTTGCAGCCAACTCTCACAGGATGCATGCAAATGAAAAACAAGCAGGCTGTGAGTGTGGTTGTGGATTCCCCCTTGCAACTGAAGCCTCCTTGCTGGGTAACTTCTCCCTGCCTTTCAACACACTCATGATCTCAGGAGTTGTTGAAAGTGACCATCTGTGTCTGCATTATTATTATTATTATTAATTATTATTATTATTATTTGAAGGTATTTGATGGTTGGATCCTCAAGGGGGAGAAATTCCCAAGTTCCCAGGATCATCCTCTCCCTACCATGGAGCGGTACATAGATTTCTGTGAGAGTGGTCTTAGCAAAAGGAGCATCAGATCTTCCCAGAACGTGGCCATGGTCTTCTTCAGGGTCCATGAACCAGGAAATGGATTCACATTAACCATAAAGATGGAGCCTAACCTCTTTCGTAAGTGAGCTCCCTGTCTGCTCAAGTGAAAGACAGGATTTGGGTGGGAGGTAGTTGGTTACACCTGCTTTGCAAAGGTTGTATTACCTTACAAACTTGGGAGACTTGAACTAAGGAAAGGTTTGAATGGAAACTTGTGTCTAACTAAAAATAGCTTAAAGAGGGGTTGGAGAGATGGCTTAGTGGTTAAGAGCACTGGCTGCTCTTGCAGAGGATCTGGATTCGATTTCCAGCACCCACATGGAGGCTAACAACTGTCCCTAATTCTAGTTCCAGGCGATCTGAAGCCCTCTTCTACCTCAATAGGTATGCAGTCAACACACTTATACATATAAAAAATAAAAATAAAAATTTTAAAATTAGTTTAAAGAACTATTCATTGCTATGAAAATCAAATGACAGTTTCATTTCCTAGGCTAGGTAATACCCTAATTTATAGTTCATACAGTTCTATTTTTTCTTCAAAGTCTTGTTCTGAATTAAGATATTACAATGGATTCAGCGACAACTTTAATCCCCAAGTCAATCCACAGTTCTAAGATAAACATGAACCTGTGCTGTTAGTGCTTTGTAGAAAAAGGCTAAAGTCCTGTGCATCTGAGTCAAGGTGGGCAGACGTCATGCCCAGGGAGAGGCGTGGACCAGAGTACCTTTATATTGCCTTCTGTTGTGTTAATATTTTGATGCTGAGTCTGACACCCTAACTTAGTTCATTTCTAATGGAAAAACACATAGATTAGACTGTAAAACTACATAGCCCAGCCCTTAAGCATGCTGCTTTGATCAAAATGAATTTACTTATCAGCTTACTTTCCTCACTGAGTGAAAGATCTGGGAGATATGGAGATAGCTCAGTGTTAATGCACTGGCCTAAGGATGCACAAGGCCTTGGGTTCAATCCCCAGCACTGGAGAGGGGCAGGGGAGCCCATGAAGGGCTGAGGCTATTTGTGAGAAGTAGAATAACTATAGAGAACAACTTGAAATATTTCTCCTGTATTTTGCTTGGTAAGAAATCAGAAGAGGTTTTTTAGAATTGTCATGGAATTTCAGTTCTCTCTAAAATTTAGTGTAGTTAAAAATGTAAGAAGGAGGCAGGAGGCAAATCAGACCTGTTCTGTTGCTCCTTAATCAGAAAAAGTGTACATTCCATGCTTCTGTTTCAGAGATAGAAAAAAAATTTTGTTGTAAATTTAGATATGTAATAAAAAGCAAAACTTTCAGAAATCCTTGACAGTACCAAGATTTTAAAATTTGACATCAGTCACTATCACTCAACACGCAGAAAATATTTACCAGATATAAATGTGCTATTTATTTTATTCTCACCTTATTTTGTCTCCATCATAAAATCTTTATGATAACGTTATTCATGACTTTATCATTTAAAAATAGCACCATGGCTCCAAATTCTATGAGCAATGATTTCAGACAGGATTGAGGTTATGGCTCACCTTTAAGCCTTGATTCTCCCAGGTTCCTAGATTGGACCCAGACCCAAGTTAACAGAAGTATTCCTAGAACTTCACCCAGATGTGCTGTTGGACTGGTGAAGAAGTATTTGTATCTTGTGGTTGTTATAAAACCTGAGGTGAAGGTTAGAAGCCTCCTTGCAGCCCAGGGCTTCCTGACAATGTCCACATGTCACTGAGTTTTATTCCCCAGCTCCTCTCTGCAAGTTGTCACTGTGATATACCCTCTCTCTGGGCACAAAACCTTACCAGGAGGTTCATCCATTTGACATTAAGACATAACACCATAGTCCTATAAATGTGTTTGGCCCCATTCATAACACATCTTGGCACACATGTTGCCAGGGGGGCTGCAAGTTGAACACCTGGAAGGTCATGAACTTAAATCTGGAATAAGCATACAATAGATTTCTTTTTTTTAGTTTTTATTTTATGTGTATGAATATATTGCCTACATGTATGTAAGTGCACCTGTGTCATGCAAAGCCCACAGAGGACAGAGGAGGATGTCGGGTCCCCTGGAATTGGAGTTACAGTTGTTAGCCACCATGTGGGTACTGGTATTCAAACCCAGATCTTCTGCAAGAACAATCAGTGCTCTTAACTGCTGAGCCATCTCTCCAGTCCTGGATACAAAAAATTTCTATAAAAACTGAGCACGCCAAATAACTCAAATGATAACTTTCTTTTTCCTACCAAGCTTGTAATGTCATCTCCCAGACCCCGAATGGAAGGTTCACCCTGGTGGTTCCCCAGCAACACCGGAACTGCAGCTTTTCCATTGTTTATCCTGTGGCAATCAAAATCTCTGATCTCACCCTGGGACATTTGCATGGTCTTCAGTTAAAGGTGAGTGACTTGCTTGCTTCATGGTCATTTGGGAAGGTCATTGTTTTATCAGAGCCAAAGTAAGCCTGGCATCAGGAAGTTGCAACAGTCAGGCCCCCTGGCCTCCTTAACTTCTATTTTAGTCTAAGCTGCAAGTCACTTACTCAGGTGCCTGTACTGACGACTCCAGTTCTCTTGTGACATAGGAAACGCTTTCAGTTGGTAAAGTTGTGGTATGTAATTACAATTGAACGCTCTTGTACTTGCCGCTTTTACAAAAATTCTCTCCTAACTGAGCCTCCTGTGAGTCATCGACACAGCTGTTTTCCTGATTATTGGAATTTTCTTTTGACACCAAGAAAGTCTCTCATTGACAGCAGTGAGCTGTGGAAGGAATGCTAACGGTAGCATAAAATATGAAATTGGATTTTATATTGCAAAAGGCAGGAAAGATTTGAAGAGCATGTTGCATTACATTTTACTTCAAAAATATTAGCTGTGAATCCCTACTAAGTTGCTTTCAAATGAACTTCTGTATGGACATTAAAGTGAGTGCTGGCTTGACTGCATTTATTTGCACTGACAGAAATGTCCCTGTGAGTCACACTCATTTCCTTTCTCTTGTTCATATGCCTAAGTTAAGATAACACATGAATTTGCTAGTATCAAGGTTTCTAATCAGACAGGGCTTAGAGAAAACTAAATAAATAGGACCAGTCTGAAAAAAAAAATAAAAACTTACATCCAACTTCTTCCAGCCTCAAATTCATAAGCCACTGCCTCTCTTTTGTTGCTGTTGTTGGACTTCGGTGGAGGAATGATCCTTTGATAAGGACTTCTGAGTGTTTTGTGTCTAATCTTATCGACTTACTGCTTGTATGCCCCGCCATTCTTAGTATAAAATATAGAAGATAGTAACAGATAGGTGATCTGCCTTTTAGGTATTAGAGCTCTAAGAATAATCTTGGCAGTCCCCTTTATATTTAAAGCCTATAGTGTTCTAGGTATCTATTCATTTAAAAACCACTTTTTGAGGGCTGAATACAGAGGCACATACCTGTAATCTCTGCACTGGGAAGACTGGGGCAGGAGAATCTCTTGTGTCAAGCTAGCCTGGGCTACATAGCATGACCTTGCCTCCAATAATAATAATAATAATAATAATAATAATAATAATTACATTTTAAATGTATGAAGGATTATTCTAAATTCTGGAAATTTTCAATGAACAAGGCAGGCTCTGCCACAGAGAGTCTGTATTCTAGTAGAATGACACAGGCAAAATTGTCCCGGATTTCAGATAGTGGTAAGTCTGTACAGAAAATGAAGCAAAATGGTTTGATAGACAGAAATTGGGAATGAGCCGGTAGACAGAGAGAAGAACTGCCTGAGACAGTGTGGTCAGGAAAGTGAGGCCCAAGCAGTAGCTCAGAAAGAGCCAGCAACCACGGAAAGAACGAGGGACAGGGGGATAGTGCTGCCTAGGTTCCTAGGCAGAAACCAGCTTCCTGAATTCCAGAAATGGAAAGAAGCAAGGTGCAGAGGGAGTAGTAGGTGCGACAGCTTAGGGAGGTTCTGTGCCAGAGAATGCCGTCTGTCTTGGGAAGCTCACGTGCATCAAGTGTAGTTGAAAGCTGAAAGGGTTCAGGTGGGAAAGTGACTAGTGTCTGAAGGTCATGCTGGCCTCCACCTGGTAGATGTGTGAAAGGGGCTGCGCTACCTTTTACATGGTCCCCCCGAGACGACTCTGGTTGTTGTTAGTGCACCTAATAAGAATACTCCTGAAGCGCCTCAGTTTTCTTGTGTATTTAAGGCCAGATTTCACCTTTTTGTATCCAGCAGAGCAGTGTTCTATTCAGTGCAAGAAGTGTGGGTTCTCCTTTGACATAGTGATGTAGTGTAGCAAGAGACAGTAGTGGTTTAGAACCTCAACCAGACCTGCAGGGGTTGCTGCTGAGACCTGGAACCCCACATAGGTCATATGCAACTCCTTTACTGCCATTGTTGATAAGAAAATCTGAGGACTACTTTTAAGAGGAGAGAGGTGTCATCACTCACCAAGTGGAAACTTCAGTCAGTACAGAAGTTCCCCTCGGGCATCCTCTGCTCCAGGGAGCAGCAATTACATTCTTTCCTTTCACCCCTAAATAGCTTATTTGACTCTCCATTCACAAACATGAATCTTTGTGCACAGTGGGTCTAATTAAATCTCTATTTCATCATGTGAAAGCACCTAAGGTGTAAAGCACCTAAGCATGGAATCCTCTGCATAGAGATCCTTTAAACTAGACGTTCCATGTTGCCTCCCCTCCTTAGCCAAATAGTTGGCATTATATTTTAATTTTCATTCATCTCATCATATTTCAATGTCCTTCTAAATGTCTGATGGGTGTGCTTCTGCGTGGATGTGTTCTCTATTCTAGATTTTGACTCCTGTGTGTCAGGGTTCATCTGGTTAACTCCTGGCCATCTGGCATATTCCACTAGATCTCTTAATGAGCACACTTCAGTGAAGAACAGGATTACACGCAAAACAAGCTACACAGATTGTGGGAGACAGTACATGTGGAACCCTGACTGAAAAATTTATAGACAGATTTCCAGGTGTAATAGTTTATTCCTGTAATCCTAATGTTTAGAAGGCAGAGTCAGGAGGATTGCCATGAATTCAAAGCCAGTCCGGGCATGTGAAGGGGATGGGTCAAAGGCAACATTTGGGATTGAGAATGGATGTTTTCAATGTGTTGAGAGAGTGAGACATCATGGTATCACTGTGGCTAGCACTGTGGAAGGTTTCAGGGAAGCAGGAAAAGGTGGTTTTGGTGGGTAACACAAAGGCTTAGAATAAAATCTTATGTTGAGTAGCTTGAAATGAATTTGGTTTCATTGAAAGGAAAAAGTTAATGGTAAGTTTAGCTAATTTGGACCCCCAATTGTACTTTTATTCTTTCTTTACCATACTCAAGTAATCTGAATCCTTATTGATAGAAATGATACGTTCCAGTATCAGAAATACTCCTTTATTAACAAAAGAAAAGGAAGTAGGTTGAAGGAAAACAGAATTTTAATAGCGAAACAAATACACAAAATCTATAAAATTATAAGATGCAGATAAATGGACCTCATTTTCTCTGGCCACTGCAGTGAGAACCCCCAGGGGCTCAGTATGTATGTGCAAGTGACTTAAAAAGCCAAGTGTTCTCAGAGTCCACTCAGAGCTTACAGATTCCTGTTTCATCATTCTGATCACTGACTTTAACATTTTAAAAGTGCATATACATTTAAAAAGTAATTAGTCAACTAGTTTAGAAAAGTGATTCTTAGGAATTTCTTTTCCCCTTTAAACAATTAAGTTTGTGTTTTTTTTTCCTAGAGTCTCTAAGGTTGAATTCAAAGTCGTAGCCAGATTTTGAGAGCTGATTCAATGAGTTTACTCATCTGCCCTTTGCCAGTGGTTTGACCTCGGCAACAAGTTTAATTGTATCTTGCTCTGCTGCTGTGTTCTCTTAGAAACCCTCAGCGGGTTGTGGGGGAATCGGAGACTTTGTAGAACTGCTGGGAGGAACTGGACTGGACCCATCCAAGATGATGCCTTTAGCTGACCTGTGCTACCCCTTTCATGGCCCCGGTGAGATAGTTCTTCCGTTATCATTTATATGCTTGCTGAGGTTGTTTCCTTAAATAAAACACTCCTTACTTTTTTTATACAACAAGTTCTACCTCCAAATTTCTATTTTGTATGTTGAGCCAATATGAGAATTTTACATTTGAGCTTATGTGCAGTGCCAGAACCTACTACCAAAACATCTGACATCAAGAGTGTGTATGAAGAAAACAATGTTTTCCACTTTGGGGACCTTCTCTGCTTTCATCCTCTGCAGGCTAACGTGTTTGTTGACTGCTGATTCAAATGGTAAAAGTATCAATGACTGGTAATAGGACAACAACGAAATAACTAAGTAAGCTTACCATATACACGTGATAAATATGGGGTATATGTGTATATATATGGTGTGTACATTTATGGAGGCGAATTACTTTTAGTACATAAACAACAAAGCAGTAAGCTTTACCAGAGCTTCTCTGCAAGGCTCAGTGTCCACAGTTTCTAAACTAACAACAGCTAAACTAGCCTCTCAGAGGCCACAGTGCCACAGACAAATTCTGAAATCTGAAGGTGGCCACCCAGTAATAAAAGGCTGGGTGTTTAGGACACAGCTGTCAAACAGGCCAGATCTTCTTTGTCAGGGACCAACAAGGCTTTCCATGTGATCATGCTAAGGTAGGTGAGGACAGGGTGGGAAGTACGATCTCATGAACAAGCTAATTAAGTATGTGTGTGTATGTGGGGGGGGGGATTACATAAAATAGTTCTACAAAGGTCATCCCCATATCTGCACTTCAGGTTATAGGAATCTTTGGTAACATGAAAAGAGATAAAAGTAAAGCTGAATTAGCATCAATGCTGAATCTCACAGAATAGCCCCACCACAGCCCCTTTCTCTCCCATTACCATCCCTTCCCCAACTAAGTAGTGAAGTTGCAAAACAGGCACTTTGATCAGCTGTATCCTGGTCAAAACCAGGTCAGCTCACCAGTATTTTCTCTCTCTGACCTAATACTGTGACTTCAATAAACAAAACAGCTCTGAAAGAGAAATTATGCACACAGGTAAGCACTAAGGCCTGTTGTGTCTTCCTGGTCCTAAGATTCACAGGCATGAAAAAGGCTCCAGATGAGACTTAGGCAAGGGCTGGGCTCAAGGCAAGCTTTCTTAACCATGGTAAAGCTTGCTTCTAAAGGTGTCTAAAAATTTACTTTGCTAAAGACTAGAAAATTTGTTTGTTTTGTTTTCTTGAGACAAGGTCTCACTATGTAGCTCAAGCTGGCCTTGAACTCTTGATCTTCCTGCCACAGCCTCTAGACTGCTGGGATTACAGTTGCACACTACTATGCCCAGCCTAGAAGAGTCTTTTATGCTAACCATCCCTTGGACCGGGTATAAACAGTCACTGCATGTGGCCCTGCTGGCCTTTTGTATGCACTCTCCCAGGCACTGACTGCATGACTAATGCTGTTGTGGGAGGGAGGCAGCCCTTGGGGACATGTACTTGAGAGGAATAGAAAGATACGACTGGATTGAAGAACACTTGTAACTTAAAATTTAGATAACTGAAGCCAGAGTCTTGTTTCTGCTTGAGCTATATGACTTAGATCAGGCGAAAAGGATGTAGCTAAGACTGAAAAACTACTTTGCCTAAATTATGCACATAATTGAATAATCTTAATAACAATACCATGACTTTCAACATATAACTGCTCCAGCACGCCTTCAGAAGAAGGGATATAAAAGTTGTCAGATGCATGTATGGGTAACGAAAATATTGGATGTAAAACAAGTAAGAATAATACAAGTGATTCCATATGAGAAAGACAGGAAAAGATGAGAGGGAAAGCTATCTGTGGGCACTAGAACACAAACTGGTCTATTCAGAGTACTTACAGTGTGCAAATGAGTTTTTATGTATAAAGTATAGTTCTTACCTAGACTCAGAATATAACAAGGAGGATTTTCTTGTTTATGTAAACATTCAGCAGTATATTATCTCCTTTACTTACTAAATACCACTTGTAACCCCAGATATTGCTCTGACCCCAAACTGTCCCTGCAAACTTCTAATTTCTCTCTAGGGGCAGTGATGTCCCCATGAAGAGGGAACACAGAGCAGAGTGCACTGGCATCTTTGCCCCTGTGACACCCAGCTGGCACAGGCAGGCAGGAGTACAGGTCAAAGGCCAAAGAGACGTCGTCTTGCTCCTTCCAGCCAGCTACATTCATCACATGGTGTTGCACATGCAGAGAAAGGCCGGGTCCAATTTCATGATTCTATAATTTAGTACAGGTTATATTAAAGAAAGAAAGATGTTTTGACTGAGAGGTTTGACTACGTAGAGCCCTTCCCTCACTCCCATTGTGTTGAAATTATCTAGTCAACAGTGTGATTTGACTGGATGCCTTCTAACCTATCAGGAAACTTTTATTATTTTTTTTCCATCAATTATAGCCCAAATGAAAATTAGCTGTGATAACACCGTGGTGCGCATGGTCTCCAGTGGAAAACACATTAACCGTGTGACATTTGAATATCGTCAGCTGGAACCTTACGAGCTAGAAAACTCAGGCGGAAACAGCATCCCAGAATTCTGTTTGTCTAGTCTTTGAGCAACCAGTTCAATGATGCCGTGCTGCTAGCTGAGTGTGTTCTTAATGGCTCTTGTGTATGATTTTCATGAGTTAGTAAAAAAACCTTTCACATTACTTTTAACTTTGCTTCCTTTTGTTTAATGTATTGATGAATGTGTGGTAGAAAATAAATTGTAATTGGAAATGCTTGATGTTTTTGGTGTGCTACAAACATGAATCCATAAAAGAGTAAAGCAAGGTGCAGAAAACAGTTGTCTCTCAAGGGAAATTCTATAGAGAAAGGGAAATGGTGGCGCTCGTGGTTTTATAACAGAAAAATCTTCGAAGTCTTGTTCATACCAAAGGAATTGCATTTATTTTCAGTTCATACTTCTGATTACCAGTTGTAGCTGTTATTTATTAATTTGTAATACTTGTTTTTAACAACACTTTGTAGCATGGGAAAAAACCCTTTCCACCCACAAATCCAAATGTAAATAAATATACATAGAATGTTGGCATCTGGACATTGTGCTTGATTTGCTTTCCTGAGTGGACCCTTCCTTTGTCATCCTTAGAAAATAATGTTTCCAAGTGGTGCAGAAGTGAGGAGTGACCCAAAGTGTTTTGGATTCCTCAGAGCCAGTTAAACTCTAGATCCCTGAAATAGGTTATTCAGAGTAGAGGGAGGAGTATGGTGTGCACACTCACCTGGCCCCAGAGGGCAACACAGAGCAGACATCTGTTTTCCATAGCATCTGAGGAAACTCAGAATACATGTCTTTTCGTCACAGTAGATGTGCTTTACAACAAGAACAGTGGGGGCAGTAAGGGCCTTATACCTCTTGCAGACACAATTTGTAGAAATCTGAGCACTTTGAGACAGCTACCAACTATGGCCTGAGCCTCTTCCATGTTCAGCCTGTAGTAGGGAGAAGACATCTTAGAGCAAAACAGAGCTTCTGGGAAAAACTCCTAAATACATGCTTCACTTCAGACTAATGGATAGACGCTTCAAACCATGCCGCAAGTAAGGCCTGGCCATGACTCCTGACACATGTACCATATGAAGGTCATTAGAATATTCTGGGATCCCTTATGCTGGGCTTAGTAATATCTGAACACCAGACGGAAGGAAAACTGTTAATTGAAAGTATTACAAATACCTAGGACTTAGCACAAAACTTGGCTTGCTAGATATTCTAGAATGTGGAAGTACTTCGGTAAATGATTGAATGAATTATTAGGTGAATCAGTGGGTGGGTAGATGGATAAATGACTGCATAATTCTTGAGTACTTATGTAACACTGGATTCCTCAACTCAGAAGAGATAAATCCAGTGAACTTGAACTCTTTTTCCATAGCCTAGCAGTGTGAAACTTGGAGAAGTTCTTTCACCATGAGAACTTTTTGGTTATTCACTCTCCTGACTCTATTACTTCCTTTGTAAATTTATTAATTAGTTTATTTATTTATTTCTACGTGTATAGGTGTTTGGACTGCTATATGTACATACACTCATGTCAAGTTGTGCAATGCCCCCAGAGGCCAGAAGAGGGAGTCAGATCTCCTGGAACTGGAGTTATGGATGGTTTGTTAGCCACTTTATGGGCACTGGGAACCAACCCACGTTCTTTGCAAGAGCAATTACTGTCATCTGTCCAGCCCATTACTCTCAGAAAATGCAATTTTCTAGTGTAGATAGGACTGTCTTCCCTAAGGTTATTTCTAGCCCTCATCGTCTGCAATCGTTAGTTTGTCATATGATTTACTTCAAATTTGTTTAGTACAGAATAGCTTATATTCTTTGAGGAGATGTTTATTCCAGTGAACTCTTGGCACCTTATTCTTGGAGGTCAACCACTTAGTCCTTTATTGCTTATTTGTATGTTTTGGTTTGATTTTGAATTTTTGAAACAGGGTGTCTTAGCCTAGGCACTCTAACTTATATGTCGCTGAGGATGGTCTTGAACTCTTGATCCTCATGTCTCCATGTGGGATTACAGGTATGTGCCACCACACCTAGCTCATGACTTAGTCTTCATTCCAAAAGGAAAAGGCAAGAAACACAATTGTAGCTGGATCTAGGGAAGAGTTACAGCAGGCGGCCGCACTGTCACCGAGTGAGTGAAATGTCATATAGAATATTGGCCAAATTTGACTTTCTAAGACATCCAGGAAAGCACAGTGGCCAAAACCATCCACTTCAGAGCCGAGGCTGTTTGACTGCCAGCTCTGCCACTCACATGGATGAGCCACTTATGAAGTCTCTGTTACTGTTTTGTTTTTTGTTGTGGTTTGTTTTTATTGTGTTGTTTCATTCTGTTTTTGAGGCAGGGTCTCACTATGTAGCCCTGGCTGGCCTGGAACCCAAGAGATCCACCTACCTCTGCTGAGTACTGAGATTAAAGGTGTGCACCATGCCTTGCCTCCATTCCTATTTTCACTCTAAAACAAGAGTGATAAAGATGCTCTTCAAAAGCCCTTCTCCATAGGGTTTTGTCACTGTGAAATGCTTAAATGCATTTAAAGTTCAAGAATTGCGCTGTGGAGATGCTGACTTTATTTATTTGGTTTCTGTATTTATTCAGAGACGGGGTCTCACCTTATAGTAAAGGCTGGTCTTGAACTTGCTATGTAGCCAGAGTTAGCTCAAACTTGATCCTCCTGCTTCATCTTCCCAAAACCTAGGATTGTAGGTATGTGCCATTATGCCTGGCTAGTTAGTCAGTCATTAATTAATTAGTTAGTTAGTTATTTTGAGAAGGGATGTCTTGCTATGTTGCCAGATTCATTTCAAATTCCTGAACTTGAGTGATCTTTCCTCCTCGGCTAACTGGGTGTGAGGCTTCCAGACATATCCAGCTGTTTGCTGTATTTATTATTGTTTTTTACATTAAAATTTTATTTATTTTTATTTTATGTGTTTGTGTGTTTTGCCTGCATGTGTGTAAGTATATCCATGTGTGCAATGCCAGTGGAGGCCAGAGGACAGTAGATCCCCTAGAACTGGAGTTATGATGGTTGTTAGCCACCTTGCAAGTACTAGGAGCGGATGGAACCCAGGTCTTCGGCAAAAGCAGCCAGTACTCTTAACACCTGAGCCATCTCTCTAGCCCCTTATTATTTCTTATTCCTAAGTAAACATACTATCTCAGACTTTTTGCACTCTTAGAGGGCCAATGGGTCTGTGCTCTGAGGAGTTTATACAGTCTCGATTTAGTTGTGTTATTCCAGGACATTTGTGAGGAAGTTTGAGTTAGTGAAGGTAGTTGCCTATGATTAAGAAGCTGAAAAATGGGGGTAGGTGAGATGTCTCATCAGATAACGGCATTTGCTGCTAAGCCTGATAACCTGAATTCAATCTCCGGGATTTACATGGTGGAAGGGGAGAACCAACTCATGAAAGCTGTTCTCTGACCTTCAAACATGTGTTGTCACACACACACACACACACACACACACACACACACACACACATACACAATAAGTAAATAAATAAATGTTAATTTAAAAATGTATTTGTTATTTTTATTTTATTTGTATGAGTGTATTGCCTGCATGTATGTGAGTGTACCCATGTCATGCAATGACTGAGGAGGTCAGAAGAAGGCATTGGATCCCCTGGAACTGGAGTTATGGACAGTTTTTAGCCAATATGTGGGTGCTGGGAATCTGTAAGAGCAGCCAGTGCTCCTAACTGCTGAGCCATCTCTCCAGCCCTAAATGTAAATTTTTTTTTAAAAAAGAAGCTGAAAAGGTTTATTGCTAACATTTGAGGATAGGTCACTTCAGGTCTTTTCTGGCTCCCATGTGCCTCTCCTTACATCTGACCCCTTTTGGTAGGCTCTGCCTTTTTCTAGAACCAACCCTGATCTTCTACAAGAGCTTCTATGGTGTCTGACATGCGATTATCAGGAGTCATCTCGTAGTTTGCGTGACTGTCTACTCTTTCTCCCTATTTCCATTTCTGTAATCTCCTTAGATCTGGGCTGTTTCATCCTAGCTCTTGCCTGGCCTTGATCTTACCTTCATATCTACCCTTAATCTTTGCTAAGTGACTAGAGCTTCACTACCAGTAACAGATTGTAAAATCCCTCCTGCATTCATGCCTTGCTCATAGGTTTTGTGTCACTGTGACCATTGTCTAGACAACTTCCTACTTCCTATGATCCTGCCTCTTCTGGCTATTGTCTGCGGAGTACCTTGTCTGCCAGTGACTGGGCTTTCTTCTAGACTGGACTTTCCTCTAGATTGGGCTTTCTGAACCAGTTTGTTTTCTTCAGTCCCAGATGCTTTGTGGTACTGCTTAAAGCAGGCAGAGTAGAAATATTATGGGTTCACCAAAACCCGTTGTTTTCAATCTCCTAAGTTAGACTACGTTTTCCAACTTACCAGCCCATTGGTTATATGACTGAATTCCTGACTGAAGGGAGGTAGATAGAAGTGATATTATCTTTCAGAAGATCTCCACACCTTTCTTTTCCTCTGTCCAGATATGTGTTCTAACAGAGGACTCCAAGGCCATTAGGAAGACAGAGTCATAGGACTCAAGAAGCTCGGGTCACCGCTTGACCATAAGGAAAGCTGACTACTGACCAGGAATGTCCACATCAGACTTTGTGTAAAGTAAACTTCTGTTTGCTAAGCTTCTTCATTCTTCATACAAGGGATTGTCTAAATCAAACTCTCAGCCATTCTCCATTTTCTTCTCTAGTTTTGCCATTAGCTTTCTAGACTGGTCTGACCTGACTCTCAAAGAAAAATACTTCAAATGCCCATCTTTGAGCTCACATAGACAAAACTTCCATTGACGTCGTCATTTCCAACTTCTCCATTTCCCAAAGAGACTCTTCTTGTGACAATGATTCTTAGATTCCTGTGACAACCTATGGATCTTGGGCCAGGAAAGAAATCTCCATATGCCTACAAAATACATCCGAATTGCCTGCAAGTTCACAGATGTCTGCAGCCCATCTAGGGCTTCAGGATGAAGACCCCTGCCTAAGTCATGATAGGAGTCAGCTCCATGTCAGTTCCCTCAGCCTGGCTTGCCTTCTTGTCAGCATTACCAACAAGCATTCATTAAGCTAGCTGTGAATGAGGCCTCAATAATAGCTCAATGGGCCTGCTTCTCTATTTAACCATTTAATTTTACCTTTTAGTAGATGAGTTTTTCTTCATCTATTGTGCGGTTGTTCCTCAGGAAGGAAACACATTTGGCTCAGGACAAAGTTTCAGTGATAAAGATTTTTCTAGATCTGTCTCAAATACAGATTTTCTTTTCTTGCCGTTTTAACAGGGAGACAATGTTTGCCTGAAAAGTAGACTCTTCGTGGGAGAAGAAGAAAGGTTTGATGGACAGGATTTACTTGTAGGCAGTTTGTTTATGTGCTCAAAATACCCAGCAGAGAGTTGGGGAAAGGAGCTCGGATTATAGGGTAATCATAGGAAATTATGTTTGAATGAGCTCTGCTCTTCTCTGTGCAGCAGAATATTGCAAAAAAGAGACTC